TGTGAAGAGGAGTGAAAATGTGCAGATCCCACGTTGTGGATGTGTTGGATGTGAAGCCGGGGGTGCTTTTCCTCTAGTACATCACTGTGATCATAACAGCTTCCAGCTGAAACACTGTTGCCTCTGCTACCTCCCCCCTGGAGTGCTCAGATGTTAGCGAAGTCCAAGCTTAAGTGTGTTCTTCCCTTACTGTGGTAGTTTGAACAAACATCCCACATAGGCTTATGTAGTTGAAAACCTGGTCTCAGGTCGGTGGTACTATCTGGGGAGGTTATAAAACCTTTAGACGGTGAAGCCTTACTAGAGGAAACATGTCTCTAGGGTGGACTTTGAGGGTTTCTAGCTTCACCCCACTTTCTGCTAGCTCTCGGCTTCCTGTGTGGTGAAACTGTGATGCTCAGCTTCCTGTTCCTGCCTTTGGCCCACCATGACCTTCCTCAAATTATGGACTTGCCCTCGGGAACCCTAAGCCAAAACAAACTCTTCTCTAAATTGCTTCGTTTGTGGTATTTTATCCCCTCAAAAAGAAAAGTAACTAATACAGCTACCTAACAGAGTAGTTGACTCAGTATTTAGAAGTGTGCAAAAATAGTGTGGGAAATGACATATTATCGGTAAGTTCTTATAAGGCTGATGTAGTCAATTGCTCATTTAAAAATATAGCAATAGGTCATTATGCAGAGGACGGGTGGAGCTGTGAATCCAGAATCTCTTAGCACTATGGCCAGAGATTCACACTCTGCAGAAAATGCTGTAGTGACTACGCCATAGAGCCATGATGTTATAGTGAGTACTCCATAGAGCCATGATGCTGTAGTGAATACGCCATAGAGCCATGTTTCCCCACAGAGATACAAGACAGTCATTCATACTCATGAGAATTTACTCTTGGTAATCTGTGATAGGTGATGTGGGAAATGACTGACAATGAATCAAATGACTGAAATTTTAACCATGAAAATGTACATTTAAGATGAACTAACTCTGAAAAGACTTACAGAATCCATCTCTAAGACAATAGATAAAAACAGAAAGAGAGAAAACAAATTCTCAGCATCAGGAATTCTAGAGACAGAGCCAGGCGTGGTGGCTCAAACCTGTAATCCCAGCACTTGGGTGGGGATAGCCCATCAGCAGCAGGATAACTGATTTCAAGGCCAGTCTGAGCTATGTAGTGATCTCCAGGCCAGTCAGGGCTGCAGGATGAGATCCTGTCTAAAGCAAAATAAAACAAGAGCTCCACTTACAGCCTGGGGATGTAGCTCAGTGCCTGACTAGCACTCATGGGGTCCATATTCAATCCTTAGTGCAAGTAAGAACAAAACTCAACAACCATTGAGTGTAGGAGTTGAGGTTGCATTAGCGATAAATCCTGCAGGCATTAAGCAAAGGAAAACGAACAACTTCATGCTAGTAAATATGGCAACTTTAATTAAGTGGATGAATTTATTAGTAAACATTTTTAGTAAACTCCAGGCTCAGAGGATTCAATGACAAACTAATAAATCCTTTAAAACCAGAAGAAGCAATAATAAGGGTAGGTCAGTTCTTTCAGAACAGGACAATTTTCTTCAGGCAGACGAAGAAGGAACAATTCCTATCTTGTGCTATGAAGCCAATTTTATACTCTATCAAACTATGATGAAAATACAAGAGATTTATATACGAGCATTCCTTATGAAGATAGACGCAAGAATTCTAAACAAATGATTCACAAACAGAATTAGCTACACATAGGAAAAAGATAATCGATCAGCTGCCCAGGAAACGAAAACTTGGTTCAATGTTCAAAGTCAGTATTTTTCAAAATGTCGAAAGAATCAAAGAGAAAGTAAATGTCCTTCTTTGTAAGTGGCAAAAATCATTTACCAAAACTTAACAACATACATGACAAAGGCTCTGAACAGACTAGGAATTAAAGGGACTCTGTCCGATGTGATACCTTTTAAAACAGAAATACCCTTAGCTGCTGTGAGATTCTGGATGCCACGGCTGTGTCTTGGCCAGAACATGGCAGTTTGTAAGCCTGCTCCCAGTCTCTGGCTCTTATATTCTTTCCACCCTCTCTTCCACAATGTTCCCTAGGCCTTTGAGGGGATGGTATAAATGTCTAATTTAGGGCTGAGCACTCATCCATCACTTATTATTAGTGCTAAGTGTGCCTAAGAATGAGTTTGTCAGTGGTCAGCCATGGATGCAAGACTGGGGTCCTGCTCTTCATTGCTAAGCTATTTGCTTCCACTGAACTCCTACTGGTGACCCTGACCCCACCAGACTCCAGTGGATAGCTCCAATTCAATGGTCACACAGACAATCCTGGTTAAACTAAATGGGTCACAAAGCAAACCCGAAAGTCACAAATCTGGGAAAGGAATTCCTATGGTTGGGGGTGGGAATGTTAGGGATGGAGGGAGATAAGAGAGGAATCAGAATATATCATATGAAATTATTGAATAACAAGTTAACGTAAAAGAAAAAGAAAACAGAAAAACGTACGAAGGCTGGGGTGCCGTTCAAGGGCCCAGTGGGGCAAGGTTTGAGTCCCAGCCCCAAACAAGATCCTAACTAGTTTTTAATATCATACTTAATAATGAAGCACTAAAACTTCCCCTGAAGACTAAGAAGGAATAACTTCTCTCATCACTTCGTAACCATTTGGCATTGTTCTGAATTCCTTACCAGTAAGTCAAAAACAAAGTAAGACACGACAGTTGCAAAAGAGAGAAAAAAAAACAAAACAAAACCGAGACTTTGTCTTGTTTAGGTACGTAGACAACCCTACAAAATTTACAAAAAGCAATAAACAGACTTACATACACACATGTATATTTGCATATGTATATATACATATCATAAATGTCAATCTGCAAATGTTATTGCACATATCCCGTTACAAAAATAACTACAAAATAAAATTAGAAGTAATTTTACCTGCAATAGTACTCAGCGACTATAACAATGTATATAACTTTCATTCTAAAAACCACAAAACAGAGCTAAGGTAAACTAACAATAGGGTGCGATACACCGTGCTCATGATGGGCAGGCGATCATCAACGGTCAGTTCTCCCCAAGTGAGCTTTAAATTTCCTTGTCATCATTCGATCATATTTAAACTGACAGGTTGACTATAAACATAGATGTTCAAAAAGAGAGGAAGAACAGGAACCTGCCGGAAGACGAGCCCCTCCTTCACCTGAGCTGCTGCAGCACGGAGCCCCCCACTGAAATGGGTCTAAACCTTCAAAGGAAAAGCCACTCTAGGCCACTGGCCTAAAGTAAAGGGGTAGGAGGGGCATCCTTTGCCTCTTTTTCTATTCACTTATTGGGCTTTGAGGAGCCACTACAGCATTCTGCAACCAGAGGGGCGTGAGCAAAACCAGTACCGTGGTCCTGATCCGGGGCTTCCAGGTTGTAGCCGTAACCCAGCAGCGTGCGGACCGCCTCCCGGAGACTGTCCTTGTTCGACTTCTTGGTTCTGTCATCCAGGAGGGTGTAGGGGACAAGGCGGGGGTTTCTTCTGTTCTTCACATCCTGCAGCAGGGGAAAAGGCGTGCAGTCTTCTGAGCCAGGACAGCGGCAGCCAGGCAATTACTCTACCCTACGAGCTATATCCCCAGCTCAGTTTCTAAACTTAAAGAAGCAACGTCAGCTTCTACCTTACCTTAGCATAGGAGGAACTGGAAAGGCGGCAGCTATGAATATGTCAGAATTCAAAATCTTAGAAGCTGAAGACTGTACACAGCTTCCTTGATTTTCTTCACCTACCCAAACTCTAGAAGTTGCCCAGCCACTATCAAGAAAGAAGCTCTAAGCAAACGAACAAGTATGCCAACTGGAAACGGGGGAAGGGGAACTAAGAATAACAAAAGTCAGCGTGACTGATCTCCAGCTCGATCCATCTGCCATGGTCACAGGCAGTAGGCTAATTTAAACACCATTTCCTAGCTCAGTTCTCTGACAAGGATTTGATACAAGAAGGGTCAAATTAATACTGGGCACCCATCAGGGACTGGGAGTCGCTGTCAAACATAGGCTGTCTTGTCTTCTGTGGAGAAAATCCAATGTTATAATCAGCTACTTTGAGTCCATCAGAGCTTAAAAACTATGCAGCTCATTGACCCTGTCAATCAGGAAACCCAGGAAATGCCAGGAATATTACAATGGTAACAGAAGTCATAACTGGTGTAGTACACAAGAGATACCAATTTTAAAATAGAGAGGACAGGCTACAGTACTGGCTTGACAAAAAGATTTTAAAGGAGGTTAGAACACTTAATTTTAGGGCAGATGGAGATTCATTATCTCTCAGCAGCAATCACTACCTCCTGTCAGTCACTCACTGAAACTGCTGCAGGGTTTGCAAAGGTTAGATACTTTTGTCTTGTTTTGAGGTTAGGTTTCATGTAGCCCAGGCTGGCCACAAAGTCACTATGTAGCTGATGATGACCTTATAGAATCCTTCTACAGCTACCCTCCTGAGTTCTGAGATTATAGGCAGGAGCCACCATGCCCAGTTTGTGCAGTGCTGGAGATAGAACCCAGGGTTTCCTGTGTGCCAAGAAAACACCATACTAGCTGAGCTAAGCCATCAGCCCCAGAATCTTCATATCCGGAGAAGCAGCATGAACTCCTAGTTCACCTTAGCATAGGACTGTGAGGCAGTGGATGCACCCTCAATTCACTGACACCACACACATACGTGCGCGCCACACACACACACACACACACACACACACACACACACGTGCGCACGCGCTATGAGTTGCACGGGGAAACAAGACGTTGAGACAGGTGGATTCCAAGTTCAGTGGCAGCCTCAGCTACACAGTGAGACCTTATCTCAATCAAACAAAACAAACGAGCTCTAAGGGCTGACGGGGGTTCTGGAAGGCAGGAATGAGGAACCTCTCTCCATCTCTTCTCCCTTCCCTGAACCACAAGCTTGTAATGAATGCCTGCATGTCCTACCACTTGGAGACAAATCATCTAGATTGTTAGTAGGGTGGTTCTGTTCCAAACTTCCCCCCTAAAACCAAGCAGCCTCAATAAAGGCTTTGCGCCAGCAACACAGACTTCCAGTCCTGCTGCCTGCCGCCTGCTGACGTGGTGCTGAGCCTCTCCCTGAACGTTTACAACCCAGAACTCTGAGCTTTGGGGAATTTCACTCTGTGTGATGACATGCTGGGAGTCTGACCATATTGACGGAACTCCTCTGGCCTCTGCACACAGATGTTTGTAACTAACTGTGCTGGAGCAACAAAGACCAGTGAAGAGACAGATGGAAAACGGCTATCCTCTTCTGTCCATGTTTGCAGCCTCCTTCTGAGCCAGGTGATGTCACCAAGAGGTGGGTGGAAACTCAAAGACGCCAGATTTTGGACACTTGGCAGCAAGCATGTGGGGTCAGTAGTGGGGGTTGGGGCTGGTGGGAGCCCTAAGAAGGAATGGGGAAGGACTTTATTAAGAGGTTCACCACAGTTGCCATCTTTATGAGGCTGGGGGAACCACACACACACCCAAGAGGGCGTGCCGTCCTGCACGTGGTGGGTATCAGGGAATCTTGGCTTGTCTGGCAAACCCAGGTGGTCTTCCAGGGAACTGGGGCTTCCCTCTCACAGAGAACCAATACACTCTATGTTCCTTAGTATGAGGGTGGAGTTTCAAACACACACATTCATGCACGTATGCACACAGACACAGGCACATATATACGTGAGTGCACACATAGGCACACAGAGTTTAATCAGATTTAGTTTAATCAAATTCTTATTGATTGTGACCAGTTTAACTCAACCTCCCCAAATTACTATTTTGTGGAGGCAAACCAAGCCTAGCTTTCTTTAGTCTTCCAAATGGCCGAAGTCATGAGATTAGAAAGGCTTTCAAAACACATTTTTCAAATCATCTTTTAGGCTATATATGGAATCATATTCTAACTCTTTGAGCAATAAATAATCTATTCCCTGAACCCTGAAACTCTTCTAGTAAGGGCATCCTACCATGAGTTGCTGTAAAAAGGATGTGAAGAGTTTGGGCTCTGGTGTAGAAGACCTGACCTGTACCACTGATACATATGCAAATTAAGCAATGATGTTAACTATTTTGCTGATGAGGGAAAAAATAGCACAGAGAATTTTAGTAGTTAGAGAAATAAACCCATGGTTAAGGGGCGAGGCCATACTGCCTGCATATAACAACGACAGTCAGCTACTTCTGTGACTCCCCCTCTAACAGGCAGTAATCCATGGTCCCAGATCTCCAACTCTGCAGTCTACAAAACTTTTTTTTTCTTTTTCCTAAATTTAACAAAAGCTCCTTTGGTAACCAGATCAGATGCAAGGCTCTTCACAGCCTGGGTGTTGTCCTGCCTACACTGCACAGAGGAAGTAATTTACAGTCCACTGCACCCCCCATAGTCTGTAAGACGGGACAGAGCACATTACCCCCCCGAAAACAAAGGACAGCAAGAAACTTTAAAATGGAATTCTACGGCACTGTGAGTCAGGAGCTGTGAATCCATTTTATTAGTACTATGATTTGATCTTCATATTTCAAAAGATCCCCCTAAAATGGTGCTTCTGGGAAATGACTGTGCAAAACCATGCTACAAACCATTTGCTATACGGGTCACTGTATCCACAGCAGGTGTTGTCATGATTCCGATCAGAGCTGTTATTAATGTGCCTATGATGGTGGCTGGCACGTGCATGCCACAGTCCATGGTGGAGGCCAGAGACGGCTTTGTGGGGTAGGAATTCTCCTATTCTCCTTCCACCTTTACGTAGGTTCCAGGAATTGAACTCAGTTCTCCAAGTTTGAGAGGCAAGCACTTTATGTACTGACCCCTCTCACAAGCCCAGTGCTGAACAGGTGCCTTTGTGCATATGTATAAAACATTAAGATATCGAGATGAGTTGTGTGTGTGTGTGTGTGTGTGTGTGTGTGTGTGTATGAGTGTATTGCCTGCATGTGTGTAAGTGCACCCATGTCATGCAGTGCCCATGGAGGTCAGAGGTCAGAAAAGGGCATCGGATCCCATGGAACTGGAGTTGCAGAAAGTTGTTAGCTGTCATGTGGGTGCTGGGAATCAAACCCAGGTCCTCTGCAAGAGCAGCCAGCACTCTTAACTGCTGAGCCATCTCTCCAGCCCCTCTAGATGAGTTTTGAAGAAGTCAAGATTTCATCTGTTCTGTTGGAAATGCTACAATTCCACTAACATGCCCCTCAGCCTACATGCTGAGATTCCCACATACCTGCTGGATGCCGTAAGTCCAGCCCTGTCGGATTCGGTCCCGGGCCCACACATTGTGAGCATTTTCTGCCAACTTGTCTACCATTGCTTCCTGAGAGGGGGTGAGTTTTACAAAGCTCAGATCCATTGGAGCAGGCTTGTATCCACTTGTCAACTGGTAACTGCAAAGCACACAAAGAAAAGCTTAGAATCACTGTTATTGAAATACTGTGATGGTCATGTCCTGTCCATCTAATCCCAGTTGTTCCATTAACCACTACAATGACCAGAGGTAGAGTGGTCAGCAAGCCTGAGTCCCCTCGGCTTCAGCTTTTGCTGCTTAGGGGGAAAAGCCACACCATCCTGACATTTTCATCTGCTCACCAGGAAAACAGGAGGCTGTTTACCAACCTCTGAAAGAGGTAAGGGACTTTTCAGTCTGTTCCTAATAGTTGAGGCTTTTGGGAGGGTCAAAATGAAGGTATTGACCATCATGAACGACACTTAAGGGATTTCTCTTCATGTAAAGTTCTTTTAAAGATTTATTTTATTTATGTATGAGTGTATGTGTATATGTGTGTGTGTGTGTGCGTGCGCACACGCATGAACATGATGCCCTCTGAAGTCAAAAGAGGGGATCAGATTCTCCAGAGCTGGAGTTACAGGGGTTCTGCTTGATTCAGGTTCTGGGAACTGAACTCTGGTCCTCTGTAAGAGCACCTGGCACTTAACCACTGAACCATCTCTCCAACCCTCTTATGAAGTTGCTATTCTCTTCAACTTTTGTTTTGTGCACGTGTATATGTATTCATGCACATGTGTGTGTACATGTGTGCATGTGGCTGTATAGGCACATGGGCGTGTGTGTACATGCATGTGTAGATACATATGTGTGTGTGTGTGGATGTGTAGGCACCTGTGCATGTGTGTATATGCATGTATGTCAATGTGTAGTTACATGTGTGTTGTGAGCAAAGTTGATGTCAACAGTCTTCCTTAAATACTTTTCACCTTATTTTTGAGACAGGGTCTCTTGCTGAACCTGGAACTCTGGTTTGGCTCTGCTGGTTGGCCAGGGAGCACCTGTCTCTATCTCCCCAGGTCCGAGATTACAGGCACACAGCACCACACTCAGATTTTACATGAGCATGGGGGATCCAAATCAGGGGCCTCTGTCCAGCAAGCAGTCATCAAGGGCACATAGATGACAAGGATTCAACACCAGCCTATGAACTTTGAGTAAAGCTAATGCTAACATAAGGCATCAAAGGAAAAAATGCTTCCCAGGAAGCAAGGCTACCAGGAACTTTCCTGCCTTATTTCACACTAGGGAGACATTTCTGAAAGATGGAAAGAGGGATGCCTTCTAAATACAACATTACAGACAGGTTCTAGTTACGTGTGAAGCCAGATAACACTGACAATTTCTGAGTCCTCTTCTTAGAACTTTTTCCCCAAATTTCTTTGATCTAGGATGGAGCTCAGTGAAACCCAAGAATCTGTGTTTCTATCTGCTAGTTTAAAATTGGTTACTAACTAGTTCACACTCATTTTTCTGTGTGTATGAGTATGTGCATATATATGCATGCTCCTGTGTGTGCAAGTGTGCATTTGTGTGCACACATGTGGAGCCCAGAGGCCAGCTTTGGCTGTTGTCCCTCGGGTGTCATCCATCTTGTTTGTTCATTTTTTTGAGACAGGATCATTCACTGGTCCGGAATTCACCAGGCAGGCTGGGCCGAATGGTCAGCATGTCCCAGGGATCTGCCTGTCTCAGCTTCCCCAGTGCTGGGTTTCCGAGTATGTACCACCATGCCAAGTTTTTGTTTGTTTGATTTTTAATATGGGGAATCAAATTCAGGTCTTCAAGCTTGCAAGGCAAGCACTTTCCCAAAACAGCGATTACCTAAGACCCTAGCCCTCAATTTATTTTAACTGAGTGTCTATCGCCCTGTAATTTTAAAAAGAAGAAAAAGAAATGAACCTTAAAGGGGTTCATTTAAATAATTAATAATCCTACCCAAATTAAAGTCATGACCAGTTTGCCTAAAGGTTTTTTCCTCTACCTATTGGACTTCATTTCACTTATTAAAAATAAATGTAGTTATCTTTGAAAGTCATGAACTCAACCAGCTATATTTGAGACTGCCCACATAAGGAAGACTTCACCAACATCAGGTGACAGCTCAGATCAGACAAAATGAGGCACATGCAGGGCGTCATGACCATACACAGCAAGCGGCATCTCTTAGAGATTACCAAAGCCTTTTGTTTCTTGTGGTACATCTGAACAGAGAAACTAGGAGCTGAATCAGAGGTTGGGGAGATGGCTCATGAGTAAAGTGCTTGACAGGCAAGTGTGGGGACCCGAGTTTGGATCCCCAGCACCCGCATAGAAGCTGGCGACTGTAGCACCCATGTCTGAATCCCAGAGCTCCAAGAGCAAGATGAGAGGCAGAATGGGAGACTCTCCGAAAGCTCGTGGGCCAGCTAGCTCGGTGTATGCAGTAATGAATGACAAGGGAGACCCGTGTCAAACAAGGTGGAAGGAGAGGACCAGTACCAAGCTTATCCTCTGACATGCTCGCCATGACACCCACACAGGCACAGACACACACGTGAACATGCCAACACGCAAAGACACACACAGAGAATCATCATTAAATCAAAAATGGATTTTTTTTTTATTTTGGTCTTTTTGAGACAGGGTCTCCTGTAGCCCCAGCTGTCCTGGAATTACTATGTAGACCAGGCTGGCCATGAACTCACAGAGATCTGCCTGCCTCTGCCTCCCAAGTGCTGGGATTAAAGGCATGCACCACCATGCCCGGCCCCAAAATGGATATTTTTAAGAGACAATTAAGTGTACTTTGGCAAATAATGTTCATTTCATCTTGCTAATGTTATTTAATAAGGTTCACAGAAACCAATCAATGGCTAATATGAATTAATCTTTTCTTGTGATTAAAAAAATAGTTAAGCCTTTTCACTAACAGAAAAATGATGTTAATCTTGAAAGCTACATGGCTTGAAATAAAGTTTCACTTTGGATCCTGGAAATTTACCAGAAATAAAGGAATGATTCCTATAACAATTCTCAGAAAGCAAAATTCCGTAGCCCTCCAAAAATAGTTCCATCATTACTAAGTAAAATAATAATTGTGCTTGGCTCATCTTAAAAGGCATCTAGCATTACATTCTGCCTTCTAGAACTTTCTAGAAAAATCATACCAGAATCAGCCATTACTTTGGCTTCTCCTTCCATCTACTTGTTGAACAGGTGGAGCTTTTACTACTCTTTACTGTGCTAGCCAATCACCCTACAAAATTAACCCCCAAAGAATACATATAAATTTAAGCATATATGTGTGTGTGTGTTTGCAATCCCCTCACTTAACAGAATACCAATGTTTTTTGGTAATCACTTCCTTTAATTTTATGTTGACATATATATATACTCTAATAAGATAAAATGAAACCCACAGTCTAGGTTTCAGTGTCCTTGTGGTAAAATTTCTTTTTCAAATACTCTGGGAAAAAAAGAACAAAACAAAATGAAACAAATTTCAGCAAACTGCCAGTTCCACCTGCATCCAATTACCAAAGGTGTAAACAGGAGAACTGATGGCATTCGGCCCGGCTGATGGTGGTCATGTAAAGCTGTAGTTCCATCTTGTCCTACATCCCCACCTGACCCCTGTCCTTCCTAAGCAGATCTTCTAATTGAGCCTAAAACACCAGTGTGGCAAAGCACGACAGAATATGGGGCACGAAGCCAGCTTCCTGCCTCCCCAGCACACTTGTTTAGCATAAATCAAGTTAAATGAAGCCTGGAAATCACTGTGTCGTGAAAGATGCACGGTAAACAGGAGAAGATGAAGTCCGGGTTCAGAGGGTGTTAGCTGTAAATTTCAGTAGCACATCAGCCCTGCCAGTGCCTTGGAACAAATGGGAAAATTTCAAATGACTGCACAGGAGGATGTGAATGGCCGGTTTCCGTAAAGCGCATCCTGTAGAAATGAGCGTCTGGCTGACATTTTCACAGAAAGGGCATCGAGAAAGCTCAAAGGCCATGCTCAGGAAAACAAATGCAGCAGAATTCATTGGAAATAGACATTAGAAAGGGAAAATTTAGGGATTTTTTCCTCTACTATTTCACTCACTTGTTTGTTTAAAAATAGACATATAGTATGTTGTCCTATGCCCCACCCCTACCCTGTCCCTTTTAAAATGTAGACTACTTTATCCCTTAGCCCTTCTGCACCAAGGCAAAGGGTCCCTGCAAGAGAGATCACTAAGAACAGTTAGTAGACATCACATGTTATAAAAATATGGGGAAGGACACAGGATAGTGAAGTGGAGAGCAAGCTCTGAGAGAAAATGAAATGCTGAACAGTTCCCAGCCGTCAACGCTGTCCTGGAGCATTTAAGTAGATCCTGATGGTAGCTGTCTAACCAATGTGGATCTGTTTTCATGAGCTGTTCTAAGGACAAGTAAAAGGTGCCATTTCAAAAACCAATCATGGGGGGCTAGGGAAATGGCTCAGCAGGTAAGAGCGCCTGCCGCACAAGCCTGGTGACCTGAGTTTGGATCCTTAGAACCTAAGTAAAAAAGATGAGTGCAGAAACATGCCTGTAATCCCCACAGTAGAAAGTCCAATGTGGACATGGAGTATCTCTGTGGCTTGCTGGCCAGTCACTCTAGACAACTGGTGAGCCCAAGATTCAGTGAGAGACTTGTATTTAAAATAAGGTGAGCATGACTGAGGAAGACAGTGACCTCTGGTTTCCATATGCACACACAACGTGTACATGCACACACATATACCCACAAAGATTGCTAAAAACAAAAACAACTTTGCTCTTAATCACATTGAACATAGGATACTGTGCCATGAAATCTCTGCCATTTAAAGGACAAGTGAGTTGCCTCCATCATCATAGAATGCACCTGCTGCTTTTATTTCTGTTGCTGCTTAATACTGTAAATTATTGTATTTCAATACTGACAAC